GGAAAATGTGGCACTCGGAAAGCAATCAGGTTGGTTAAGGAATGTGGTGGAAGAAAGTAAGTTAGGTCCCAGGGTGTGGCCCAGATCACCACCCAGTTTGTCGCTATTCCTGACTCAATCAAGCCTCCTGATTAGGGGCACGTTTGATTTGATTTGATATACTATGGTCACACGTACCAAGCTACAGTGAAAAGTTTTGTTTTGCCTGCCATACAGGCAAATCATACTGTACAAAGTGCATTAGGGTAATGGAACAGAGCGGGGAATATAATATTACGGCTCCAGAGAAAGCGCACAAAGAGCGAGATCAACATTAAATATTTCAGAAGTCTAATGACAGCAGGGAGGAAGCTATTTTTGAATCTGTTCCTATGTGTAAACAAACTTTTATATCTTCTGCCCAATGGAAGAGGATGTAGGAGAGTTTAACCAGGGTGGGAGGAGTCTGATTATGCTGGTTGCCTTCCTGAGGTAGTGGGAAGTATAGATGGAGTCTGTGAATGGAAGGCTGGTTTGTGTGAGGGCCTGCAGTATTCACAGCTCTGTGCAGTTTCTTGCAGTGTTTCCGTGGTGGGTTCATGTGACTGAACAAGCAGATTCACAGTCCAAAGATTTTTGGGCACAATGGAGCAAGCTGTCCCATGGGATAGTGGCATCTGGAGAGCTGGATTTGCTTCCTATTCTCTCCGTCCCTGCCTCATCACTAAGAGGTTGTGACTTGTGCATGACGCAGTTTGATGAATGAGTTCTCACCGTTTTGAATGATTGGGAGCAAGCTACTTCCTGACATTGATGTTACTGTTGTTGCACTTCAGAGACACTCTAAAGCTGTCTGTGAAGTGTTTCCTGCAACCACACCTGAATTGCTGGCCATCTAAGAGTTGAGAGAACATGACCAGATAAGGAGATAACTTTTGTCAGCCATCCGAACGCAGTGTCCGGTCCATGGAAGTTGATTTTTGCAGGAGTTTTGTCTGAATGCCAGTAGGGCTGGCCTACAGAAAGACACAACATACAACAGAATTATTACCAATGCAATTAATCCAGGTCTCGTTGCACCAAAACATTTTGATGACAGTAACTGTTATGTACAGCAGGATTTTTGTTCACCTGCCTAGCTGTTTGTTGTCAAACACTCACTGCTATGGATTGCAGAAAGCTGAGTTGGCACAGCAGATCTGGAGTTGGATCTCCTCATCAGTGGTGACCTTTGAGAGAGCTGCTGCCAAAATCTGGGATGTGTGCAGGATGTTCCATAGTTTCTCCCTCAATGCATACAGAGCCTGGAGCTCAGTGACCAGTCGTGTTCTGCAGGGATCTGTTCTGGGACCTCTGCTCTTTGTGATGTTTATAAATGGCTTGGATGAGGAAGTGGAAGGGTGGGTTAGTAAGGTTGCCCATGACATGAAGGTTGGTGGAGTTGTGGACAGCGTGGAGGGCTGTTGTAGGTTGCAACGGGACATTGACATTATGCAGAGCTGGGCAAAGAAGTGGCAGAAGGAATTCAACCCAGAAAAGTGTGAAGTGATTCATTTTGGAAGGTTGAATTTGAATGCAGAATGCAGGGTTAATGGCAGGATTCTCGGCAGTGTGGAGGAACAGAGGGATCTTGGGGTCCACGTCCATAGATCCCACAAAGTTGCTACCCAAGTTGATAGGGTTTTAAAGAAGGCGTATGGTGTGTTGGCTTTCATTGGCAGGGGAATTGAGTTTAAGAGCCGTGAGGTTATGCTGCAGCTGTATAAAACTCTGCTTAGACCACACTTGGAATATGGTGTTCAGTTCTGGTCACCTCATTACAGGAAAGATGTGGAAGCTTTAGAGAGGGTGCAGAGGAGATTTACCAGGATGCTGCCTGGACTGGAGGCCAGGTCTTATGAGGAAAGGTTGAGGGAGCTAGGGCTTTTTTCATTGGAGCGAAGAAGGATGAGGTGGCTTAGATAATGTGGATAGCCAGAGACTTTTTTTCCCAGGGAGGAAATGACTATTACTAGGGGGCATAATTTTAAGATGATTGGAGGAAGGTATAGGGGAGATGTCAGAGGTGGGTTCTTCACACAGAGAGTGGTGGGTGTGTGGAATGCACTGCCGGCAGTGGTCGTGGAGTCAGATACTTTTAAGCGACTCTTGGATAGGCACATGTAGGGTATGCAGGGTAGATTGATCTTAGTAGGATAATAGGTCAGCCGAAGGGCCTGTACTGTTCTATGTTCTAGGTGAAATATTTGACCTCACTAAGTGTAGGTCAATGTATAATTTTGCTTAGGCTACATTCAAGGGACAGAGTGAGTTCCTTGTGTGCACAATTGAAGAGATTGTGGTTGCATGGTTATCTGGAATATAGTCGGCAAAAACCCTGCAGGCCTTTCGCAAACTGTCAATCGTGTGTATCACAAGGTTGTCACTAGATCACTGGAGCAAAAAAAACTGTATTGCATTCAGTGTGCATACAGGACTATGCCTAAACACTGGGGAAATCTCAGCAGCCTCTCATTAATGAGGAGGCAGTGATCTATTAACACTGGGCTAGTAATGCAAAGAAACAGGCTAATGCTCTGAGGAGATGAGTTTGAATCCTATGCAGTTGATTGTGGTTAAAAACCCAATTGGTCCTTAAGGGGAGGAAACCTGCCAACCTTATCCCAGTCTAGTCTACACAGTACTCATGTTGCTTAACTGCCCTCTGGACATTAGAGATCAGGAGTAAATGTTTGGCTAACCAGAAATGCCCACATCCAATAAACAAATAAAAAGAAAAAGGTAGGGCTTATACAATTAATGTTAGGGATTTGGGTAGTGTTGTCGAGCAGAGGGACCTACGGGTGCAGGTACATAATTCTTTTAAGTTTGCATCACATATAGATAGGATGGTTAAAAAGCTGTTTGGCAGACTTGCTTCCATTGCTCAGTCCTTTGAGTATAGGAGTTGGGACATTATGTTGAGGTTGTACAGGACGTTGGTGAGGCCTCATCTGGAATACTGTTTCCAGTTCTGGTCACCCACTTATAGGAAGAATATTATCAAGCTGCAGAGGCTTCAGAAGAGATTTACCACAATGTTGCCAGGTATGGAAGGTTTGAGTTATAAAGAAAGGCTGGATAGGCTGGGACTTTTTCAGTAGAGAATAGGAGGTTGAGCGGTGACCTAATAAAGCATCTAAAATTATAAGTATTAGATAGAGTTGATGGTAGTTGTCTTTTCTCCAAGATGGGGAATTTTAAGACTAAAGGTACATTTTTAAGGTGAGAGGAGAGAGATTTAAAAAAGATGAGGCAAATTTTTTACACGCATGTGGAATGAACTTCATGAGGAAGTGTTGGATGCGGATACAATTGCAACGTTTAAAAGACATTTGGATGGATATATGAATGGGGAAGGTTTGGAGGGATATGGGCCGGGAGAGGGCAGGTGGGACTAGTTTAGTTTAGATTGTGTTTGGCATATACTGGTTGGACTAAAGGGTCTGTTTCTGTGCTATATGACTCTGATTCCATGACTCTAACCTAGGTCAGAACCACGCCACATGCAGATTAATGATCCCAAGGCCTAATACCAGAGCTCACTTTCTCCACTCCCAGTGACTCTGATGCAGCCATCCACTATTACCCACTGTCTGAGCAATAACTGGAGCACAGATCAAAAGATCTAACAGTCCTGACCTCAGTGTTTTGACGAGAAGGTTGTAAAGTAGATAATCAAAACCCTGTTCCTCAAACATTGAGGTTCATTGGACTAGTGTAAGAGGCCAAGGATAGAGTGGAAGTGGAGTCCTATGAGTCTTTGATGCAGACATTGTTGAGTGAGCTTTACTTTGACTTTAAATGAATAGTGGAAGCTTTACTATGTCTCCAATCTTGTGTTGTCCCTGAATGGGGTGTGTTTGATGGGAACCATGAAGAGGGAGATTTACTTTCAGTTTAAAATCATAGAGGAAGCTTTACTTTGTATCTAAGACTGCACTGTCTCCATCCTGGGAGTACTGGATGTGGACAGAATAGACTGCGTTTAACTTTCAGTTTAAAAGAGTAGAGTGGGAGAAGAGAATTTAAAATTTAAGACAATGGGAAGCTGGAGTTACGCTTGTGAGCTGAATGGCTGCGAGGGTAGGAAGAGACTGTCATGCATCTCCTTTTGGAATGTGCCTTTGCAGACAAAGTGTAGGGAGAGATGCAGTGGATTTTGTCAAGGTTCATTCCAAGCAGCTCCATGACATAGCGCTCTGTGCTGTACGGCTGTTCCCCAGGACATACACAGAGACAAACATTGACTGTGCCTGGAAGACCATCAAGTCGGTGATAGACACTGTTTGGTCTGGCCAAAACCTGCTGGTCTTCCACTGCTAAAAGAGTTAACCTCAACCAAATGTTGCAGACTGGCACATTCTAAGGTCATTGACTTTGTGCTGAGGGATGCGTGAAAGCTTGAGACAGCTGTTGTCAATGTGATGGAGGGACAGACCACTGTCTGAGGTCTTTCTGCCAAAGTACAGTTGTCAAACCCTCTGCTTTCCTGTGTATGAAATGCATTCGACCTTTGCAACTGCAAGGAATGTAACATCCAGCATTTGCTTTCCTTGATATGCAAAGACTTGATATGCACCATGGCGCAGCGTTTAGCACTGCTGCCTCACAGCACCAGGGACCTGGATTCGATTCCAGCCTGGGGCGACTGTCTGCGTGGAGTTTGCACATTCTCCTGGGGCCAGCGTGAGTTTCCTGTTTCCTCCCACAGTCCAAAGATGTGCAGGCTAGTTGGATTAGCCATGGGAAATGCAGGGTTACAGGGATAGGGTGGATGAGATGGGTGTTGGTGGGATGCTCTTCGGAGGGTTGGTGTGGACTCGATGGGCCAAATGGCCTGCTTCCACACTGCTGTGATTCTATGATGCTGGGACTGTACAGAACTGCTTTAGGACCTTCTGTGTATTTTTCTTTTCTCTCTCTATTTAGAAAAAGGGTATATTTTTGACCTGACTTCTCGCCTCCTGCTGCCTTTTCAGGAACCTGCTGCTGGAGATCCTGCACAACATGTGCTACGCGGCGTCGGCCGAGGAGTACGACCTGCTGTACCACCAGCTGCTGGACACCAACGCGCAGCGGGCGATCGACTACTTCCACCGGCAGTGGCACGGCAGCCGCGGGCAGTGGGTGGAGAGCTTCAAGCACGAGGGCGAGACCTACCTGACCAGCACCGTCAAGCGGGCGGAGCTGCTGAGCCAGCAGCTGCAGGCGCGCCTGGGCAAGACCGCTGACTCGGCCGGCTTCGCGCAGGAGCTGCTGAAGGCCGTCGACAGCCTGCGGGCCGACAGCGACTGCCGGGCCGCACGCACGCTGCAGGAGAGGCCGCCGGTGGGCACGGACTCCGGCCCGGCCGCCTCGGCTTACCGGGAGCTGCTGACCGGCTACGCCTTCTCGCGGGTGCGCCGAGAGCTGGAGGAGGCCGAGTGGGTGAGCTTCCTGAGCGCCGAAGCCGAGCGGGCCCGGCCAGCTTGCCGCCGGCGGGCGTTGCTCACCGAGACCGGCAGCTGCCAGTGCGCCTTCCGCACCGCCATGAAGCTGCCGTGCCGCCACCTGCTGGCCCTGCGCCGGCTGCGGGGCCACGGACTTTTTGACCCGGCGCTCTGCTCGGCGCGATGGACCCGCCAGCACTACCTGAGGGACCACCCGCTGCTCCTCCTGCAGGACCCGGGACCCGTCCCCGTCCAGCCTACGGCTCCTGTACCCACGTTGCCGAGAGAGCAGACCACAACAACAACAACAACAGCGGCGCAGCAGGAGGAGCGGTACAGCCAGGCGTTCCGGGTCTCTCAGAAACTCTCGCTGCTCGCTGCCGGCTGCCCCGCCGACGAGTTCGACAACTGCTTGGCCGTCATGACCGCCGTCACCAACATCTGGGCCAGGGGTGGCCAAGTGCGGGTCACCGAGATGAACGGTTGGTACAGAGATAGTAGGAACTGCAGATGCTGGAGAATCTGAGACAACAAGGTGCAGGGCTGGATGAACACAGCAGGCCAAGCAGCATCATAGGAGCAGAAAGGCTGACGTTTCAAGCCTAGACCCTTCATCAG